ACGCTGGAAGATCAAATATTTAAATAAAACAGGTCAGACATGTAAAACTTGCTGTGCTTTATTACGTATAGATTGCCCCTGAAAGGTAGGCAAAATCGGGCCCCCCTTCCAGATTTCCCCCCCGGGCCCCTGACCACCCAGTCCGCCCCTGGCTCACCCCACACCCGCGGTTCTTCACGGGGACGTCGCGGCGGGGGAGGTCCGCGGGCCGCGGAGGCTGCCGGCCCTGCGGGCCCCAGGGAAGGCAGGGAAGCGCCCTGCCGCCGCACCCGCCGCGCAAGCCAAGCTCCGCGCAACCGCCGGCGTTGTCCTCAGAAAGATTTAACGACGCCCTGCCGCCGCCACCACCTCCCCCTTCGGCTTCTTATTTCTTCCGTAAATTTATGACCGATGGCATGTTCGTCTTTTTTGTCGCTTTCGCGTGCCTGCTGCTTGCCCCCACACTCAGCCCCAGCCGCCCTCGTGCGCTCTGCCTAAAGGGTTTCTCGGGGGTCAAACACCTTACGGGGCTGCCACTATGCCGCTGTCACCTCCCGACAAATGATTGCCAAGTTGTTTTTTACATTTAGATTTTAATTTTTTGGGGCAGTCTCTTGTTTTTACTTTGAAAAGAGTTTTCTGTTATAAAAAAGTGCAAAAATCAAAAGAAAACAAGGAGGCCTCCCGGGAGCTTCTGCTCGGGAGAACAGTTTTCGCCGAGGGCGCAAGAACTCCAGGAATCATGTGCAACCTGCCTGGGAATCATCAGGATATAAAAATTAATCGAAATCAACAGAAATTGCTTGAACTAAGCGGGAAGCTAGTGGAATTGCAGTGCCAAGGTACAATAAATTAGTCGAAATAAGCGTTTTCTACTACTAGAAAACGTAAGGAATGAATATAAGCAGACGGGAATCACTGGGAATCAAGTATTTCAGGAATCATGTGTACACATCAAAAGGGAGTTATTGCCCCCTCGGTTTTCGCATTCGCCTGTCCTGTGTCCTGTGCGAGGGGTCGCCAACTTGCATAATACTCTGTACACGGGTCTCATAATACCTTTATAATACCTCATAATAGTCTGTAATACTTCACAATATCAAATAATATGACATAAAATCTCTTAGAACGTGCCATAATACCACATATAATACTATAATACTCCGTATACACTGCTGATAGTGAGTTGGCGACCCCTCGGTCCTGTGTCGGCGGCCCCGCCTGGGTGGGTGGCTACAGGTACCTATCGCCACTGCCTGCCACTGTCCCCGCAGGCCCCCGGCCCCCGCGGGCGCCGGCTGGTCCGCTTTGTCATAAACTCTAATTGGCGCAGCGCTGCTGTTAAATCACCACACTTCGCAGGGGTGTCTTCTTTCACCCCCAATTCGGCCCGCCACGCCGCGCCGTCCCGCACCACTGCTCGCCCCGCCACGCCGCGCCACGCCGCCACCCCTATCCCCGCGGGACGCGCCATCACCCGCCAACATATGCTTCCACGCTGCCCGCCCAGCCCGCGTCGGGCGGACACCCCACAGAAGTTCGACGAGGAGCATTCTTTCCGAACCCAGTCCGCTAGTAGTTTTGATTTTAAACTCGGGTGTCGATTTAAATCTCGCGTGTTCGTGGAGGTGTAGAACAGAGGTCCAGGCGGATACACGTACGGGGCCCAAAAGCCAGCACTTTGTTTTTGCTGTCATTTGCGCTTCTCTCCCTCTCTTGGGCTGCCACTTGCAAAGTCTGTCCCTCTCGCACTCGGCAGTGTTGTCGATAGCCGTGAACCCCCAGCCCCAGGTGGGCGGCCAAGTCTCTTCGCCTAACCCCTGACCCCTGAAAACCCAGCGCGATTCCGGTCAGCCTACCTGGTCCACGGACACATTCTAGCCCCTACTTGGACACCTTCTAGTCTCCAGCTGGACATCTTCTGTTCCCCTAGCGGAGACCTCGACGCCAGCCAGCGCCAGCAGTCAGCTCGAGGAGGATAGGGCGCCACACTGGTGCAGGCTTAATTGGCCACCTTGGGACCCCACCCCTCCGCACCCACCCGCGCACCCCTTCTGTCCGGTCGGGTTTCAGCAGTCAGGGAGCAGAACGGATAGAAAAGGGGGTGGGGGGACACTAGGGGAAGAGACGGCGAGTCAAAGGTATGCGTACGGAACTTGACAATGCGCGTGTTTCAACCAACACATTCGGCGGGGGGTGACCTCAATGTGGTCAAGCTTTGTTGAATATCCCGGCCCCCGAGCCGCAGCTGAGGGACGCACAGCACGGCATCCCCCACTCACCCGCACGGTGGATAGAGGGGGAAGGGGTATTCTCCCACAAACCTGTGGCCTTTGGCCTCACGGCTCCGCGCACTGGTCTTCCCTTGGTCGCGCCTCGCGGGGGCGAGCTGAAGGCGGCTGAAGGCCTCGGGGGCGGCGGCGGCCACATGCGACTGTTTGTCCAAACTGTGCTCCAAATGGCTCCACCATGACGTCCGACGCCCGCGGCCCCCGCCCCGGCCGCGCCCTCGAGTCACTTCTCGCATTACACGAATCGAAGCTCCGCCTCAGGTGGGAGCGTTGGCGGGGCGGGTGAAGGCGCGGGCGGCCGGGGCGGGCGCGCGCCTCATGCAGGGTCAGCTCAACAACGTGCGTGGGTGCGTGGGGAGAGTGGAGCACGGGTCACCAAGGCCGCCAGCGCGGCGGAGGCGGAGCAGCACTCGTACACGGAGCTACGCATATCGGATTCATTTAGCTGACTATCACTTGTGGTCTTACTCTCCGCCTCTCCTAAAGGCCGGCGCACAGACGTTGGACGGCGCAGTGTGTCAACGCCTGTGCAACGGTAAAGTCGCGGCGTGCACGCACATGGACATGTCCGCCCGGGTGCCTGTGGGTCAGGGTGTACTTCAGTCAGTGCCGTCGTTGTCAGCGTCAGCTTCACCGTCTTCAACGTCGCAACATTATTTCGGAGGTGGGTAAACTGAGCATTACCTTGATCTTCAGGGTGGCCGCTCTGCCCCGTAGTTTTGAAAAGGTAGACTAGCCCGCACGCAGACGGAGCGGGGAGGTGGGAGGGGACGGGAGAGGTAGGTGCGGGCGCGCTAGCATACCCTTTTAAAACTACGGGGCAGAGCGGCCACCCTGTATCGCTAACCTCGCAGCCGCTGTAAACCCAACGAATTTGGGCAGTCTGCTCACTGTAGTCCCGGGTGTCATTTCTTTCAAAAACAAAAAGGAGTTTCTCTCTAATAACTTCCCCTTAACCTAGGACAAGCGTTCCATACATCTCTCCAAATGTACTAGGTGTTTCAGAGCGGAGCACAGTAGTGTTGCGGGTTCGCCTACTCCCTTGTGACCGTAAGAAGCCACGGCCCCTGCGGCTCCAGCGAGTACGCTATCCCGCAACACTGTAGTATCCGCTCTGAAACACCTCGTACAGGGTGTCCTATTGGCCTCGCACTTCTTCGTTTGGGTTGGGTAATACTGTACCGCATTCATGCGTGTGGGTGGGTTGCCTACCCGCTAGGCGCCTCGAGGAGGCATCTCGGTCAGGGACGGTTGGGAAGCTCGCTTCGATGCGAAATGTTATTCGTAAGCTCACAAAACCCTTTTGCATATGTATATATTTTGAACAACATGCACCTTAGACTAAGGCCGGCACGCATTTATGCGGTACAGTGTAACAATGAAAGGTGCGGGGGGCCCTATGGGAAACCTGATGGCCCAAGTGTTGGGCTTGCAGCGAGGGGAGGCAGTGTAGACTTAAAAACTGTTGTATTTTATTCCTTACAGGAGTTTGTACTGTGTTAGGTGCCGATCGCCCGTCAGATAGCACAATGGACAAAAACTCATTGAGAGTGTTAGAGATTCTCTCCACAAAGGCCTGTGCACATGCTGCAATAGAAATTTTTAAAGAGTTTCCAAGCGCGAAATATTCCGACCAGACCGAACAGGAGACTGATCAGGGGGGTTCAAACTTTTTTTCGGGGGTACTAGGCGTGTGGCGGATCTTTGTAGTTAAAGTTATTGATCAGAGTAACATTTTGAAAATCGATCTGGTAATCGATGGCATTCATAAGCTTGCCACAAGAGTTGTATCAGCGATAAGGAGTCAGTTAGAGCAAGTAGAGCCACGAGAGCCCAGTGCTGCTCGTCTGGAAGCAGCCTTGAAACGGAACGAGAGCTTGCTGCAGGACTTGAGGGTGGAGATGGAGCGCCTAAGGACACGTGCACAGACACAGGTAAGAAGGCGTGTGTGAGATTGTTGTTTCTGCACTTACCCCCACTGAAATCCGTTTTGTGATACTTTTACTCAATTTTTGCGATAACTGGTGTTTTGCGATTCCCACGCTAATGAGCATGATAACTCCAAAAAATGTGATAAAAGTATCACAAATCATCACAAATCAATAATCGCAAAACACCAGTTATCGCATGGTTTTGTGTTAAAAGTATCGCAAAACCAGACTCAGTGCCCTAGAGATCAAAACTACCTGCCGGACCGTAGCATACCCTGGTAGCAGGACTGCATCATTTTATGTCTTGATTTTGCTACCGGGGATGGCTACGGGAGGATTCTGAATGTACAAAAGACTGACCTATGTGTTGTTTGTTTCTCTTTACAGTTGTTGCCTGTTGGATACGGCCCGGAGTTGCAAAGCATATATCATTCATTCGACATCTCGACACTCAACCAAATTGTATGTGCAGACGCTCTACTGGAAATATTTCAAGGATCCACAAAAACATATCAGGCAGTTTCGACCGTGATTTCGGAAATACTTGTTTGTGGGCTGGTTGCTAGTAATGCTGGGCGTCCTGCAAATACTGAAGAAGTTGAATATGAAGTTAAAGTTAAAACTCAGGTGACTGAGAAACTTAATGAGCTTGTAGTGAGTATTTCATCGGCGGTGAGAGACAAGTTGGAGTTGAAGTGTCGCCAATGCCAGGTTGCAGTACTGGGTGGCAACGACGGCGCAGAAAAGTAGACCAGCCAGCCTCTCCGTCAATGGTGTGCGTTGTGTGTATTGTCCTGATGCAAACCTTTTGCAAATTCGAAAAAGTAATTTGTAGAGTAAATTAGTGGATTACATTTATTTGTGGAGTAAGTAGTTTATATTCTTGGGCGTTCTACATTTGTTCTTTATTGGTTCATGTACAAACTATTAACTTCTTGGTATAATTATGTGGTGGGAATAAAGTTTGGGGGAAATTTTAATCGGTGGGGAATAAATATAATCTGGTAAACGTATATTTACACTAGTGTCAAAATAAATAAATAATGACATCTTTAATGTGTTGGATTGCTACTCTTCTACGTCATTTATAATACCAAAACACTAACTTGATAACCCCCGGGTGCTCTAATGTAATGGTGGTGAAAATGAAACTATACGTCTAACCGCAGTTAACTTCCCCTTTCTGCCATTTACTCTTATAATTGCAACGCTTCATCCACCTTATGAGCTTCACAGTGACGTAAGTAAGTCTTGGCACTCTCTGTGAGAGACGTAGAAAAGAGTGAGAGATAGACATTTGATAAAGAGAGAGGGAGAAAGAGGGGGGGACAAAAGGACAGAGACAGAAACAAAGGAGAGGGGGTAGGGGGAGCCAGTGCCCCGGCAGACACATCACATACCAAGTGTCACCCTACACCCCGGCAGCGGCTGCCTGGCGGCAGCGACAGGGACGGACCTGGCCTTACGCACAGAACGCACACAGTGAGTTTTCCCGTCCTTCAAAGGCTCCGGTATTTGGCCCGGTCTTCGGCGCACGCACGACAGCTACTTAATTAAACTAACATTGGAATTTTCAGCAGATGATTCATTTAAATTTTCATAAAAAGCCCGTCTATGTCGTCTAACAATAATGGGCCTTCCCCGCTCTGCTCTCTTCCTTTCCCCTCATCTACGAAGCTGGGTCACCGGATTGCAAGCCCAAACATTTCTAAATATGAGAGAAAATTAGAACAAAGTTCTAAGATGAAATTATCATATGCTTTCAATCATCGATTCTTGATTTATTTTTCTTTGGAGCAAATACCCAGTAATTACTGGCTTTCTCTGCATTAGGAAGACAGAATAACAACTCCCCTCTCTCTGATTTTATCCCAGCGCCCACTTTACATGCCTCCGCGGCCGCCCGACTACGCCAGAACGCCTTCCGTTTCCCTGGACCAGATTCGCCCAACGACGATTCCTGGAATCGGCTTACTGGGTGAGAGTCTGTGTGAGGTTGTGTGTGAGTGATCGAATTGTGTGTGTGTGTGTGTGTGTGAGAGAGAGAGAGAGAGAGAGAACGCGCCGCTTATGTGTGGTGTGTGCGCGAGCGCACAATGTGCGTGCACCCCACCTTATGAATGCACCGTGTCTGCCTGTCCGTCTGCCACTTCTCTACCTCAATGAGTGTCAAACCGTCAAAACCTGCAAGCTAAGTTGCTAAGTTACTTGTCCCCCCCTTTCTGTATAAGACTGAAAAATCAAGACTGATGATGTCGTTAATTTTCTACATACATGCAGATAAGTTTACGGCACCACTTTGAACAGTAGAACGTGGGAAAGAGAAAGTTGGGGGCAGCGGTAGAATTGGGTTAGGGTTATTTAGTCTGAATTCTAAATTGGCTCGATAGTTTACGTCCACTTAGATGCACAAACTGTGGATCAAAATTGCCAAAGTAAAGTATTGAAGGGACTCTGTAGGCACTGGGTAAAACAGTACTGGACTCGGACGTCCAAATAGTTACAGACTTTAGATCGCGAGTCGGGATTGGTAACAAAATTACTGTCGCATCTTGTGTTAAAGGGGCGGGATCCGTGACCAACACGCTTGTTAATCCGCCAACACAACTTCTTACCGTTTGATGCGACATCACATATACGACAGGAAGCAGGGAAAGTAAACACGGGCCCGCTGGACAAGAGCGGGGGCCGGGCTATGGGGAAGGGGGCGGGGGCGGGGGCAGCTAAACAAACAAAACTTTTTGTCCGCGTGCGTGCCGCTGTCCACTTGGATCCGAAGTCACTTCATTACACCCACACCCTACTTTAGCACACACGTGAAGTGGGTACTTCACAAGTTACTCTGTGGGCATATCTCCCCGCGCCCGAAGCTCAAACAGGAGTATATTACTCTCGTCTCGCAAAGACGAAGCTATGCATCTGAGGCCGAAGTCACGTGATGAATGCACACTTACCTTTGCTGCTGCACGAAATGACTTGCACTCATTCCATGTCCATGGTTTCAGGAACCAACTCGAGCACCGAAACCACAACCGCGGCACGAAAGGTGCGAATTAAAGGGAGCTGAAGCTGAAGGGGGGAAGAGAAGGTAGGGTACGAGGAGCGGAGCGAGAGGAGGTAGGTGTACATGAAGGGGAGGGCGAAGCAGAGAGAGACAGGCACCGAGAGG